GACAAAGAAACATATAGATTTGAAGCCAGAGATTTTTTTATTGGGAATCTTACCTGATACATATAATAAAAACTTAAAGTATTTGATTGTAAATGTATTAACAGCAGCTAGGATTGTATTTGCTAAAAATTGGAAGAATGAGAAAGTACCATTAGAAGAAGAAGTTATTAAGAAAATACTGGAATGTGCTGAAATGAGTAGATTGACATTTGAAATTAGAGAACAAGGAGATAAACAATTTTATGAAGTTTGGGATCTTTTTTATCAATGGTTAGATAATACAATATAATAATAAAATATTTAGAAACCTAGGAAATAATGAATATACATTTTTTTGGGGGGGGTTTGATAATATTTTTATAATATTTTATTAAGATAGACTTGGTATGATTTTATGATTTGTTAGAAAATAAATTAACTAAACTATAGTTATCTCGCTTAAGTATGAATTAGTAAAATTATAGTCAAATGATTGTTTAATAATGATATTAGGATATATAATTGTTGATTGATAATATGACTTATTATGTAATATAATTATTATGATGACTATGAAATGGATGCACAAAAAGGAGTGGTAAACCAACCGATACACTGTCTGTAAATTTATGAAGGATGATGATGTTTTTATGTTATGTTTTATGTTTTATGTGTTTTTTGTTTGTTGTTAAAATCAATAAAACTTTTACTAAAAAAAAAAAAAAGTTCATATCCCTGACCCAGCCAATCAGCTGGGACTCGGGAGGCAGAGAATAGATGGGGGTGGAGCCAGTCAGAGGTGGTATTTGCCAGTTCTCTGAACTACTCAAAATTTCCACTGCTGGTTCTCCAGAATTGGTCAGAACCTGCTGAATATCACCTCTGCCCCACACCCCTGCTCAAGTGGGTTTTAATAAACATGGAAATTACAGAATCAGGATTAAGACATAAGACATAAGAATTTATTTGTCATTACACTCGCTAGCGGGTGCAACGAAATGAGGTGCTCTTCCACAAAGTAAAACTGGACAAACACCACTAAAAGAAAAAAATTGAACTAAACATAACCAACCATACAATAATCTCTATGCAATTTAAAAATGTAAATACCCCATTACTCTCAGCCATTTAAATTCCACAAAAATCTTATGACCCTGCATTCAAACTCAAAACTGCACTTGGATAAAAACTGTTCTTAAATCTGGTCGTCCTTGTTCTTAATACCCTAAATCTCCTTCTCGATGGTAATAGTTCAAAGAGCTGATGTCCCAGATGAGAGGAGTCATTCAATATATTAAGTATCTTCCTCTTACATCTATTCCTATACAGTTCTTCCAAAGAGGGGAGTGAGCAGCCAATGATGTTTTGGGCCGTCTTGATCACCCTCTGAATTGCCTTTTTCTCTGCCACTGTGCAGCTCGAGAACCATACACAGAGACAGTAGGATAATATACTCTCAATTGAACTCCGATAGAAGGTAGTCAGTAGACTCTCAGCCAGTTGTTGTTTCCTAAGAATCCTTAGTAAATACAACCGTTGTTGTGCCTTCTTAATTAAAGCAGTGGTGTTTGCGCTCCAAGTCAGGTCATTTGTAATGATGGTCCCGAGAAACTTACATTCAACCACCTGTTCCACACGAACTCCCTCTATATACAGTGGCTGAATGTCTGTTCTTTTTTTCCTATAGTCCACTATAACCTCCTTGGTCTTCTTAATATTAAATAGAAGATTATTATTCTTGCACCAGCGGGATAGCTGTAGTACCTCATCCCGATATGCAGACTCATCATCCCCAGAAATAAGTCCTACAAGCGTAGTATCGTCTGCAAATTTCATTATCCTATTGTTGGGATGTTTATTTGTGCAATCAGATGAATAGATGGAGAACAATAGTGGACTAAGGACACAACCTTGTGGAGTGCCAATGCTAAGTGTCTTGACAGTAGAAATATAATCATTCAGTTTAACTCTTTGTGGACGATTTGTTAAAAAATCCAATATCCATAAACAAATAGAATCTGGAAGATCTAGATCTTGAGCTTGGCTATTAATCTGTGCGGTATGATGGTATTGAAGGCAGAACTAAAATCTGCGAACAACATTCTTACATAATTCCCCGGTGTTTCCAAATGGGATAAAGCCATGTGAAGCACAGTAATAATTGCATCCTCGGTTGATCTGTTTTCTTTGTAAGCAAACTGAAGCCCATCAAAGGAATCGGGAAGGCAGGAGATAATATAATTTCGAACTAGCTGCTCAAAGCACTTCATTAAGATAGAAGTTAGTGCCACCGGCCTATAGTCGCTCGGACCATTTGTGGGCATCTTTTTAGGCAGTGGAACGATGGTGGGAGCCTTGAGACAAACAGGAACCACGCATTGTATCAAGGATCGATTAAAAATTTCAGTCCATACCCCAGCTAACTGATCAGCACAATCTTTTACCACCCGACCAGGAATTGAGTCGGGCCCAGCTGACTTTCTGGAATTAACCGCCTTCATTGTCTGCCTCACATCCTGCTCATTCACAATGAAGGGGAGGCTCTGCTGAGTAAATGATGGCAAAGGGACAGTTTCAGTTTGATGGATCTCAAATTGGACAAAAAAATTGTTCAACTCCTCCACCACCGCCGCACTACCATCCGAAGAGACCTTTTTTGCTTTATAGTTCGTTAGTTGTTGAACCCCCTGCCAAACCTGCCTCATGTTATTACTGAGAAAGCAATCTTCAATTCTCCTCTTATATTTGGCCTTAGCTTGCTTAATACCTCTCCTCAAGTTCGTTCTTGCAGCACTATAATCTAGATCATTCCCAGACTTAAAAGCCTTATTTCTTGCGTACAACAAACGTCTAACCTTCCCGGACATCCAAGGTTTTTGATTAGGATAAACCAGGATTCGTTTATCCACCGTGACAGTATCAATACAGTGTGCCATATACCCTAACACCGCAGCCGTGTGATCGTCGAGATCAGAATGATCAAAAACTTCCCAGTTTGTCTGTTCGAAGCAGTCCTTTAGCTGCTCCATTGCTCCCTCTGGCCAGCTTTTCACCGTCTTGACTACCGACCCTGCCTGTTTTCTCAGAGGAATATACTCCGGGGCTAGAAGCAGGGACAAGTGATCCGACTGGCCCAGATGTGGTAATTGTAACACCCTGGATCCATTTACAATATTCGTGTAGACCTTATCCAAGGTGTTCGACCCCCTAGTGGAACACCTTATATGTTGATAGAATTTAGGGAGAACCACACGAAGATCTACATGATTAAAATCTCCCGCAATAATGTATACAGCATCTGGAAATTTGCTTTGCAAGTTGCCAATTTCATCACCCAGGAAGCCCAGAGCCAAATCTACTTTTGCATCCGGCGGAATGTAAACAGCAAGAATAATGACAATGCTGAATTCCCGTGGAAGATAGAAGGGTCTGCATCTAACAGACAGATATTCCAGCTCCAAAGAGCAGTGACGTGTTATAACCTCTGAGTTTGTACACCAAGTCTCTTTGACAAACATACACACTCCTCCTCCTCTGCACTTCCCCACATTTCTGTCTCTATCCAGACGATGTAATAAAAAACCGTCCATCTCAATAACAATGTCCGGGATAGTGGGGTTCAACCAGGTTTTGGTGATTAACAACACACAACAGCTTTTCACGAACTTACTCGAAGAGACCTGTAACCTTAAATCATCCATCTTGTTTGCCACGGATCTAGCATTAGTCAGAAAGAGACTTGGGAGCGGCAGCCGCTTCATTTGTTTTTGCAGCCTGTATAAAACACCAGCCCTGCAGCCTCTTTTCTTCCCCCTCTCCCTTCGTCTTCTTCTCCTTCTCACCCTCTCTCTCACCGGAGCCCCAATCCACGGAGAGCCGGGGAGCCTTGCAATCTCTGATGGTATGTTATGTTTCCAAACAAACTTAGCTGTTATCTCTTGTTTGCTTTGTAGTCCAATCTTCACAAGCTCACAATTGCTGTAGAGTATGTTCATCCCGCAGGAGGTATTCACAATACAAGATAATCCACACAAAACATCCATAAAAAACACCAAAAAAAACACACCAAAAACACCAAGTCGAAGAGCACTGAGCTGCAGCATGTGAATGCGCGGCCATCAAAAACGTCAATAGTTTATCAATGGTTGTCAATAGTTTAGTTTATCTTCCTTTAATTTTTCCTAAATCTCCTATCAGTCTCTTCTCCTTGTGTTTTTATTTGACAAACTACATAGTTTATTTTCCAAAGAAAGAGAAAAGTTGATTGCCTCGACCTTCTTGTTCCGCTGACACTTTATTCCTTGAACTGAGATGCTCCATCATTGGCGTTTTCCTCTGAGTTCACAGAGCTGAGTTTTTAGGTTGGCTACTATTTCAGCTTCTATAATGAAATATTTTTTTTCATGGATTATTGAAGTGTACAATGTCAGGGGTTTAAAATGCTCCTTTTCATAGTCTTAATTGTGGAGTATTGCTAACCCAAAGACTGTACTAAGCATACTTGAAAGTATAACATGTTAATCTCTTTGAATGAGCCAGCATCCAATTAGCTCTAAAACATCAGATTCTTGTGTTTGGAGATCAATTTTTCTAGTTTATGAGCTAGTTTGGATTGACTTTATGAGTATCAAGCTAGTTGCTTTGATTGTGGGTGTACCATTTCTGAAAATGTAATTCTTCCCCGCTTAAAAATCTGCTCAACAATTGGCACTCACACATTCTCATTGATTTATTTGGATGAGTGATTATTATCTCCTTAAATTACCTGACCTTTAGAGGAAGCAGACTATATGCTCACTGATTGAAGGTATTGAGTAATCTTGATGTGTATATATCTTAGTGTGTGTGTGAGTTGGCGCGTATAGAATATTGTATGTGTCTGTTTTACTTGATAATTGGATGTTTGCAATAGGTATTGTGGAATATAAAGGTGTAAAAGTGTTTCTATTTTTATTAGTTAGAATAAAGATGTCTTGGAAATCTGAATTTTCTAATGAAGGACATATTTTTTGTCTTCTCAGTTTGCTGTGTGCATATAATCTGATGTGGATTTAAATATAGGTCAATATTTCTAAATGTTCCTAAGCACTAGAAGAACAATCTTCAACTATCTTCATCTGCATCCAAATCTGTGGGGACTATGGAAAACATAATCTAACAACTGGAAAATACAAGATTGAAGAAGGCTATATTAATGGAACAGATACCCACTTCACATTCCCTTCACCATTGCAGCTCAATGTAATCATGCTAAATATTTATATTTGGTAAAATGAACACTGATTCATTAAAATAATGAAGATTTTCTACTGAATAAGTGAAAAGCTAATTTTATATATAAAATGGACACACACTGTATTTTTAGCCCAGGTTTTAACATCAGATGTTGTAGAGTATTTTCTTTGAAGTAAAACTCCTTTACCTGCAGGCCACCTGCAATATACCTAGAGTTCATCATTCTTCAATAAATTCCAAAGTCCGAGTATTTAATTTAACAATATTTGGATATTATGTGGCTTATTTCATGGAAATCCTCTTTAGATAATTTCTTGCGCCTCCTTTGCTAGTCATTTAATGCTATAATTCCTGTCTTGGTGTTTTTAATGTTTACAGTCACTCTTTGTTGTTCCAATATTTTCTTTCTTCTTCTTCTTTAAATAGCCCTAATTTATCTAATAAAGAGGCTCTTAACATTTAATATATCTGATATGTCTTTATCTCAGTTTCACCTGGGTGAAAAAATGGATGATCTGTACCTGATGACCCACTTTTTGTTCTTACTCTTATTTTGTGGAACATTTGAATTTACAATTATAACATGCCCTTAGGTTTCCAACATAATGGATTCCATTAGTAACAATTATATCTCAGTGCAGGGCTGAGGATTGGGGTCTGGTCATTCTGTTAAAGATAACGTTAAGGCACAGCAATAGGACAGTATTTTATTTTGGATGAGTTTTGGGTGCTATTGATGTGGCTTCACAGAGAGTAGAACTGAATCGCTAAACATAGATGAATTCTAGCTTTCCAAATCTTGTTCCAACACTGAGTTGGGCACTGCTGAAATTGGTACCCTCAGAGCAATCATAGTCTTGGTAATACATTTTTGACAAATTGCTGGGCCTATGATTAGAAAATAAAAAGCAGGGGTAGGAAGAGAAAACTACTGCTGTATCTCTAAAAAAAAAAAAAAAAAGATTTGGTGGAAGCTTTGAAATAACCCAACCTACAGGACATTTTATGGAGTGTTGTTCAGTGAATTAAAAGTAAGACTTAAAAGTTTGTTCTTCTTTGGAACTACTCAAATGTTCAGTCACCCCTAGAACATGAAGAACAGCATATCAAGAACCTAATTAAGAAGGGGAGTAGAAAGGGGAGAGAACATCATAAATGTCTGTGGCCATCTTTATTTTTCCATCACTGATTTACAAATTTCTCGTGATATCAGGAGCCCTTCTATTTGTACGTTTCCTCCTTCCCACAAAAAGGAATGAAAATTGATAATTATTGCCTTCCCTTTCCAATAAATTATCATTACCACCATCAGGTAGGAACAACTGATTTTTCTTCTTGATTCCATGCTAGAGTATAAAGTTACAGCTGTTTCTCTGCTCTTGCATCATAAGCTAGATAGATGAACAAAAATAGCGGCCTGATAGAAGCAAGTGGCTAATTAGGCGAGAGCTGGGAATTTCTCTCTGCTTGATTGAGATTCTCATCAGAGCTTGCAGAAAGCAAATAGCCTCCAGCTGTTGAGGAAGCAGAGTGTAAACTGCATGTATGTGAAGAAACAAAGAACTGACAATTTATTGAAGAAATCTTGAAAGAGCAAGGTTTCTCATGTGAAATCCTGTCTGGAATAGTGTATCTGTTATAGTGACTTAACTTGCTATTTATATAAATACTAGCTCTATACCCGTGCTTCGCTACAAAACAATGTGACTGGGCTTAGTTTTTGGGGAGGAAAATAAGAGGAAAAAATTGTGCCTCTGCCTACCAGCATCCATCAGTATTCATCTGGCTAGCATCCTGTCAGTGTGTGAGAGAGTTGAGGGCTGTTTGGAAACTGAAACATGGAAATGGAAACAACTGTGTGAGCAAGAAGGAGACAGCAAGGAGCCTGGGTGTGGCTTAGCTCAACTGTTGTGTAGTAAAGCTGGTTGCTGCTGTGAAATTAAAACAGAAACTGAAACTCCTCTGCTTGTATTTTTCATTTGGAACAGATTTCTTTTCAGATGGGGAAGGGGAGTAGAATTCCTTAGCATCAAAGCATGTTAATAATAATATATGAAATATTAATGCTCTGATGGTCATTTCAAAAAAACCCTTTCTTAGTGAGCACCTAGAAGCCAAGAGGAGGATACCTGCCAAATTCCAGGTTTGTAGGCTTTGCGGTTCTGGAGATTTTGTGATGATGCATGAGTGGAATTTGGCTTTTATATATATAGATTTGCAATAGGTTTAGGACAGCGAAACCTTCCAGTAGCAGTCTTTAGATGCAGTGGACAAATGTTTGTTTTAATTTCATCCTTATTTAACAGATGAATGTCTCTTAAATCAAGGGTTTCTCTGTGGTTTTGCTGATATATAATGATATATAATGATACAAATAGTATAAATTTGGGTTTAACCAATATTCAGTTTTAATAGACACTCACTTCCCAAATGGTCCATTAATCTGGTTTTTTTTTTTACTGTATTATAAATCGTCATAAAAAGGATGTAGTACTTATACTGACAATTGTATGATGGCATAATTTTTCATGGAAGAGAGCTGTTGAGGTAATTCCCCGTTAGGAGAATGAGCACACACAGGGAGACGTAGTGAGAGTGGTGAAGAATAACACACAAACAGCACACAGATACACTGTACAGTAAATGTAGGTTTTTACTTCCAATAAACGTTTAAGCACAGTCCAAGATAAGCAGTCCAAGTCATTCACAGGTAAGGCAGTCAGTGTTCAGTTCAGGGATAATCCAAATATCAAAGTCCAGTGTCAAAAAACAGTTCAGAAACAGACTTACATCAACGATCAGTAACAGCCATTAAGAGGAACGGAAAAACTCTCCAACAGAAAGGAACAGAAACTCACTGAGACTCTTTTCTGAGACTAAACAACCCAGGTTTCTGGCTCCATCTTATGGCTGTTTGCGGAACCACACCCAATTACAGATTTAGTATTCTCTTACAGACATAGTATTAAAATGTCTATCCTAGTTTATATATTTCCAACCCAAATAACTGTTAGGTGACTTACATTCCTAACAAGAGCCTTCATGCCTAAAGTACTATACTGAATAATCTAGTACCTACATGCGTCAGGACCTTAACCATATCCCCAAAGGGTTTATACGATTCCCATTTCAATTAATAAATAATTTCAAAAGTGTGGAAGCCTCATGAGTTTATACATTAGATTGGAAAAAATCCCAGTTCCATCCTCAGTTGTAAACAGTGAAGCCGCCTGGGCGAGTTTGGGTTAGCCCCTCTCTTTCAGCCCCTCCCACCCCACAGGGTTGCTGTTGTGAGGAAAACAGGAGGGAGGAGAATTAGGTATGTTCACCTCCTTGAGTTATTTATAAGAATTTTTTTTAAAAAGAAAGTTGTTTTGATTTAAGCCCCAGGTGATAAAACGGAACCTCTTGACCTCACTTATTGAGAGAAACAGAGAATGAAGAACAATATTCTAATGCAATATCACACTTGCTCGGTTAAATTACATATCCTGGAGGTGTTGAAGTTAGACATCAAAGCACAAATAGCGGTAATGCACTCATGGTAATGTCTATCTTTCCAAAATTCAAACTTCTTCTGACCATACATCACATCCATTTTCCCCTGTTGTTCCCTCATTCCAGCCGGAGCTGTGTTTAGCGGTGTAAGTGGAGATGAATACCAGATGCATTTAGATAATGAGGGCTCTGCTGATATTCCTTCAGCCCACATAAAACATAAAGAGATTAAAACTATCTACTGAGCCTAGTGTCACTTTATCTTTATTCACTTTCCCCCCCATCATCAGGCAGACAAAAACGGCATTCAACCAGGGCAACTTGAATAGAATGTATTGCTTAGCAAAAGAAAACAATATCTATAATCCTCTCTGGACAACTTGAAATCCTGGTTCAATGACCTTCTTCTGCAAGATGCCTCTCTGCAAAGAGGCTTTTTAAAAAATTTATTTGAATTGGGTACACGCAATGCTGAAAGGCACAGATCATTGATTGCTATCTAGCAGCAAGTGAATAACAGAAGTTACAGGAGGGGAAGGAAGGAGGGCAAAGAGAGAGCATCAGTATCTGTTTTTGTTAATATCTTAAAATGTGTGTACACATACAGTTTGGGACTGCAAGTAATTTACAGGTCGTCCTCAACTTACAACCAATCATTTGGTGATCGTTCGAAGCTACAACGGCACTGAAAAAAAGTAACTTATGACCATTTTTCACGCTTACTACCGTTGCAGCACCTACACGGTCACATGATCAAAATTCAGACACTTGGCAAACTGACAGTTGCAGTGTCCCGGGGTCATGTGATCACTGTTTGCGATCTTCTGACAAGTAAAGTCAACGTTCTGTCCCAGGCTTCCCCAAAAAGCACTAAGCAAACTGTGCCGCGGCAAAACCTCTTTTATTAAATGAATGTGAATTTATTGTGTTCACATTCAGCCAACGGCCTGGCAAAAAGTCTTTCAAAGGTATAGTTATTAGCTCAGACCTTACTTATATTGGAAAGCTGCCTGGTAAAAGTGCTGACAGGGAAGGACTGGGCATAGAGTGTCGAGGTGACACAGACAGATCTTCATGAGGTTGGAATGAACAAACGAATGAACGGACAAATTGTTTTCTGCAAAAGCCCCCTCCGCTGTTGCTCCTCTTTTAATCCTTATGGGAGGGGCTGTTCATTGTCCACCTGTGGCCTTACTTCCATGTTGACCCTGAGTTCTTCCATGTTGACCCTGAGTTCCTTCCTTTTGGCAGCTCTGCGCATGCGCAGGCTGGGAATCAGTTCCAGAAGCTCCCCTGCCTCACTGTTGTCCGAGCCCAAAGGCAGCTGAAGACTGCCAGCCTGCCCTGGCCCCCTCTCTGCCTCTGACGCAGAGCCCTCGTCCAAGCCTTCCTCAGCCATCCATTCCTCAAAGACTCTCTGTATTTGATAAACAAGGAAATTGAAACAAACAAAACTCGGGAAGTTCAGGAGTAATTATTTTATGTGACACTTTCTTGATGTGTAAAGAATTGTTGCTGAGATGTACCCTGTATCTGAACAGTGAGAATTTTATGGGGATA